TGATAATTGTGTCAAACAATTGCCTTAATACTTTATGAATTGTTTCCTTCCCTCCAACGCAATGCCACTGCCAGGGCCTGGCTATGTCTCCTCCAGTCTTCCTGTCACCACCCTCACTCACTGTTCTTCTCCAACCCATCCTCAACACCACGATCACTCATAATTTTCTAAATGACAAATCTAATCTTTATCCATTACTTAAACAGCCTAAATCCAGATTCCATAACTGGATTTGGGATTGGTGAGATTTAGGAATAACACCAAGGTATGTTTCATGCTGAGATTAAGATTCAAAATCCAGGCCTTGTTTTGGGTCTTCAAAGTGGGCTCCCCAAACCAGGAGCATCAGCACCACCAGGAAGCTTCTTAAAAATGCAAATTTCAGGGCCAGCCCCGTAGCCTAGTGGTTAAGTCCGGGTTTCTCTACTTTGGCAGCCCAGGTTCCTGGGTCTGGATCCCAGGCACGGACCTATGCTACTCATCAACCATGCTATGGTGGTGACCCACATATAAAGTAGAGGAATATTGGCACCGTTAGCTCAGAGCTAATCTTCCTCAAGCAAAAAAAAAAAAAAAGAGGAATATTGGCAACAGATGTTAACTTAGGGCAATCTTCCTTAGAAAAAAAAAAAGAAATGCAAATTGCAGGCCCACCTCAGACCTATAGCATTGGAAACTCTGGAGATGAGGCCCTAACAATCTATGCTTTAACAATCCCTCTGAGTGACTCTAGTGCCCACTGAAGTTTGACAACCACCGTCCTAGAGAAAGGAATGAGTCTAATCCTGCAAGTTGGGATTAAGGGGCCTAACTTGGAGAGAGACATTCTGCCACATCTGGGAAGGAGGGTTTTTATCCTGTGAGTGCTTAAAGCTGTGGTTGCCATCCATGCTGCACATTATAACCACCTGGGATACTTAGAACTATTGATGCTCACCTTGCCACAGGCCAGTTACATCAGAACCTGTGAGTGTGGGGCTCTGGCTGTGGGGGGGTGGGGAGAATTTTAATATAGCCCAGATGATTCTAATGTGCAGCCAGGACTGAGAACTGCTGATTTAGGGGGATCCTGACATCCCCTTAGGATCCTCCACTCACAGCTAAATAAATATCATTTTGTCCCCATTTCTTGATTGTAACTGTACTGCTGCTTAAAATCGAGAGCAGTTTCTGAGCCAGCCCTGCTAGCCCCTGCTCAATTTCAAGGCCACCACACTGCTAAATACCAAGGGTACCTTCCATAGGGTCCAATGCAGCAGTCATAGATGGCACTCTTCAGAAGTGCTGTGAAGGCTTGTACATGCTCCTATACCTCATCCTGTCCTCTGCTCCAGGCTGCTTCAGACAGGCCCTCGTGCATCATGCCCAATGAGATAAGCAGCTCTATAGTCAGGCTTTACTTTTTTTTTTTTTTTTGCAGGGAAAGAGTCTCCTTGAGCTAACATCTGTTGCCAATCTTCCTCTTTTTTTTTTCTCCCTAAAGCTCCAGTGCATGGTTGTATATCCCAGTCATAAGTCCTTCTAGTTCTTTTAAGTGAGCCACCACCACAGCATGGCAACTGCCACACCATGGCAAATGACAGACAGGTGGTGTGGTTCCACGACTGGGAAACAAACCCAGGCCGCCAAGCAGTGAGAGTGCTGAACTTTAACCGCTAGGCCATCAGGGCTGGCTCAGTCAAGCTTTACATTTTAACTCAGGCTGCCAAATATAAAGTAAGGCCTTCTTCTGTGTCCCACGACATGACTCTCCTCTTCTAAAGTGGGATTTTACTGCTTCAAATCTGAAGTCATAATTGTTCCAAACTAATCTTCATAGTTTGAAATTGCTTTTAGTATTAAAACAAACAAAAAACAATATCTTCAGTGTTCTTTTATCAATCTCTTCTAACGTGATAAATTCTAATTTACCAGAAAAGGAAGTAACTGTCAACTTGATAACTGATCCTTCATTTTAAACAACTGTTATTGATACATCATGTAATTTTCTATGTTTAACCATGAAACGATCTAATTGACACAATAAAAATTGGAGATTTTACATCATGAGGTGATGGGCTTGGATGTTACAAATCAAGCTGTGGTCCCCAGCCCAGCAGATTGGTACAACTTGGAAGTATGTTAGAAAGGCAGAATCTCATAGCCAACCCAGGACTACAGCTGCAGAATTTACATGAGAATTTGTATTTTTAACAAGATCCCCAGGTAATCTTGTTGCATATTAAGGTCTAAGAAGCACCTTGGTCTTGAAAATGCTGAAGAAATTGCTTCAGATTCAGGTTAGAGAACCAATTTTACTTGGTTGCTGTAAATCCCCAAAATATTTGACTTGCTAATTAAAATTACAAATAGATTAGACTTTTCTCCCTCATTTAATGCAAAATAAGCTTGAAATTAATATACATGAAGGAAAACTGTGGTTTCAGGAAGTTAAAACTTAGACAATTGTTCCCTGCCACAGAAAACACCCCCTCTAGTTACACAGGAATATTACTTATTGCAAGATGCAAGAAGCAGCTCTGGGGCAGGACAGGTCAAGACAGGAAACTGCTGCTACCAGTGTTGGACCAGAGGCCAGAGTGTTAGAGCACATCAGAATTTGGATTTCCTTAATTCAGCCATTCCACAAACATTATGGAGCATCCACCATATGCCAGGATGGGGTTAGATGCCAGGAATACTTGTTTCAGTTTGTTCACTGTCTAGATTTTACATACAGGCATAGGGACAATGACAGTGCAGCTTCATCAGTGCTGTAATAAAGGCATGCATGACTATTATGGCGCTCAGAAGAGGAAGCCCTAAGTTGACTTGAGAAGAGAAATCATAGCCAGGAGTAATTTCTTAGAAAGAATGGCAGCCAGGTGTCAACTCAGATACCTGGAGGTGAATGTGGCTGAATTCCAAAAGGACAAAATCATTTGTTTATGGTTCATCTGAAGTCTTTTCAGAAAAATGAGTCTTATAGGGGAAATCAATAGTCAGGATTACAACTGAATGGTGTTTAAGGGAAAGCCTTTGGAGAACAAGTGGTGGTTGAAGGAGAAACAGAAAGAGTTGAGATTTAGGCCATAGATGGGGAAATGAAACCATGAAAAGAATAAGAATGCTTCCTTCTTTATCATTGGAGAAGGTCGGTGATTAGAATATAGGTGAGGAGGCAATTAAATTGAGAGGCTTTGCACCTGAAAGCTCCTATTTTCTCAGTGAAGAAGAATGCAAGTTCTTCCAGAAAGGAGTAAGATGGGTTGAGAAAGGTAAACGAGAAGAGTATTGCAGATCAGAATTGCTTTTTTTTTTGATAATGTGGCACGGAATTGACAAGGGGCCCTTAAAAAGGACATAGTGAGGGTCCATATGTGGTTGAAAATCATGACTTTGTAGCAACAACAATCCTCCAGGTGGGGTAATTTTGTATAACTCTGTTCAGCAATACAGATGTTTGAACTAATCGAAGGTTTCAGGGTTGTGATGTGAGTGTGGTAGAAAGACAAAGGTGGAAAGATCTTGAAGACGATGTCAAGAGTAGCTGAAGTGATGTATTATGTGCTTCTTAAACTTTCATGTGTATAAGAGTCACCTGGAGAAATTGTTAAAATACAGATGCTGATTCAGTAAGTCTAGAGTGGTGACTTCAAGTCCTCATTTCTAATGAGCTCCTAGATGATATTTATTGTGGAGTTCCATAGACCTCACTTTGAATAACAAGGTCCTAAGCTGTATAAGGGAAGAATTAAAAGCCAAAGTGGAGATGGCCCGGAAAAAAAGAGAAGGGATAAACATACTGAAAGTCAAAAAGCAATCATACCACTTTATAACCATTAGGATGGCTATTACTAAAAAAAATATATATTGGTGAGGATATGGAAAAATTGGAACACTTGTACACTGCTGGTGGGTTTTAAAATGGTGCAACTGCTGTGGAAAACATGGCAGTTCCTCGGGAAACTAAACATAGAATTCCATATGATCCAGCAATTCTACATCTAGTTATATACCAAAAAATACTGAAAGCAAGAACTCAAACAAATATTTGTACAGCCATGTTCACAGCAGCATTATTCACAACAATCAAAAAGTAGAAATAACCCAAATGTCCATTGATGGATGAATGAATAACGAAAATGTTGTGTATACATACAATGCAATGTTATTCAGCTTTAAAAAGGAAGAAAATTTTTACACACATGACAACATGGACACCCTTTAGGACATTAAGTTAAGTGAAATAAGCCAGATACGAAAGGACAAATATTATACGATTCCACTTATATGAGGTACCTAGAGTACTCAAACGCATAGAGATAGAAAGTTGAATGGTAGTTACCAGGGGCTGGGGTAAAAGGGGAATGGGGAGTTATTGATTAATAGGTGCGGAGTTTCAGTCTGAGATGACGAACAGTTCTTTAAAAATACTAACGCCTAGCTTCCACTGCAGACATTCTGGCTTAATCGCTCTGGGATGCAATCTGGGCATCAGGATATTTAAAGTCTCCCAGGTGATTCTAATGTGCAATAAAATTTGGGAAGCCCTAGATTAGACAAATTTCAAGAGAATAGTAAAAGGGATTTAAAAGTTAAGCATTCCAACCCTCAGAGAATATTTTTGAGTTCACTTTTTCAGCGAAAAAGTGCCTTTAGATGCTACAGCAGCCTTTGGATGCTTACTTATGTCTCTGGAGACTAGTATTCAGAACTGTCTTAACAAAAAGGTGGTTTGTTGGTTCAGTTCTACTCTGTCACAGGTTTTGATTGGCCTCATACAAAATCTTCATACCCCAGGCTCTGTCTGATGGAGAGAAGCCAAGGGCTTGAACTAGGTCAGCACAAAGGTGCCAAGTGGAGTCCAGTTCCGTTAGGTTCACACGGTGCCTTGCTCCCCTTGTGACTGTAGTTTCTCTCTTATTTCTGTGAATTTATATACCCAGAAAGAAAAACAAAAGGAACTGAAATCAGAGGAAAATCAGTGGAGATAATCAACATCGTTATCATATTCTTACCATCCGATTTTTGTTTGCTGAAGGAAGTTGAAATATCTGGGAAGATTGGCTATCACATGGCAAAGTAATCACTGAGTAAATGTGGTACCTCCAGTACGTGATTCCAAGATTCTCTTGTCTGAAAAGAAAACCTTGTAATAAACAGCAAAGTATATGAAAAGTCTGCAAAGTATACAAAAAAAGTCCCCAAGGTGAGGTAATAATCATGAAGAAACTAAGATGATAGAATATATCAATCAGATTTTCTTTCAAAATGCTTTGTTACCCTTTTCTAAAGAGGCCAAAGGGTCTTAAACATCTACTCTTATAATTTAATTAGAATGATCTTAAGGCATTCTTCAAGGATATGTATATAGCATATAAAAGTTCTTCTGCATTTATCCATAATGCCAGTGACATCAGTGTGATCCTACATAGACATAAGATTTTAGTACTGACACTCAGTTTAAAACACTTGCCATTTTTTGCCTGTGGTGCTGAGAATTACTCCAAGTTACTTAAATTCTATTCTGAAACGTGGAAATATTTCCCAGTTTCCTTGTAATCCTAAGAGACACTATTTGTAATTCAGATTCACCTTTGGTGGTAACAGCAGGTAGCAAAAACAAACCATGGTGGAACAGGAATAACATGACCCAAAATAGTTTATTCTGACCTAAACACGCTCAATAGAAACTACCATCATTAAATCCAAAAGCATCTCTCAAACCCTGAAAGAAGGTATTAATATTCTCATTGATCTTAAGACAACAGAATAAATGTAGGCGAGGAATAAGCAGTTCAAAGGCATTTCACTATATGCATTATATTATATCTGAAATATTGTTAGCAATACTACCTGATAGGATAAAATAAAGCTTATCACATGGAGAAGTCTTTTCTCTGTTTAGAATTCATCCTTTTTTTATCTGCCCTTGATCTACAAAGCCATTCAAAGAAACTTTCCAGTGTGCTTAGCTACATTCTTCCAGTTATGTCACTCCCTTAAAGTAACTTTGGCACTTTCGAAGGCTCACTAAATCTTTCTGGGCTCTCGGGTATCGCTAAAGAAAGTGCTACGATAATTTGCTAAATGGTATCCTCAGGACCTTAAAAAAAGTTCTTGTTCCTTACAAAACACTAACTTGCTCTCCAAAAGAAATTTACTTCCTACCAGGATATAGCTAAGACCCCTTGTTTACTGTCCCGAGAAGGATTCAAGGGGGTTAAATCAACTACTTGTTTTAGACACTCCGTGATCTAAAAAATCTCTATTTTTGACTATCAGAGTTTAAAAAACCAAAGCACCAACCTGGCTGTCCTCTCCTCACTAGTCATTCTGCCCACTGGGAGGATCGTCTGTTTAAATGGTGTGAGCAGATTGGTCTGCCTTGAGCTCCAAATTAACTGTCCTGGAAATTCATCAGCTGTTTCTTTAGGCCCAAAGAAGTTTTATAAACATTGCTCTAAGTTGAAGTGAAACTAGAGCTATCTTCAAACTCTTAAATGATATAATCTAAATAAACTAAACTAACATCGCTAAAGGAATTTCCATTACAGAAATGGAAGAAGAGATGAAAAGCTGCATTGAAAGCTATGTGATCTTGCTTCAGTGTTCTCCCAGTGTTCGTATTTGTTAATTTACCTTCTCTACCATCTTGCACGATATTTAACCAAATACAGAATCAAGCTCATGTGCCTAAGATTTCCCGAAAAACACAGTTTCATGGAAGGAGCAGTTAAAGAAGAAAGAGAAGAGAGCCGGACATAAAAATTAAATCCGGTGTTCAGGCATAGATCAAAATTAAAATCACAAGGATGAAATAGAGAAATTCCCCAGAACAGCCCCCAACCCTCTGCCCTATTCTTGGCACGCTTTACAAAGGAGAGATTGGAATCTGGCCCTGTGTGTAGTCAGTAATATGCATACTGCAGAAATACAAGTTGGAGAGGCAGTGGCACGAAAGAAAAGGGTCATAAAAATCTGGCATTGACAACGCCACGCCCCATCCTCACCCACAGGCACCCAGACCAGGCTCAACTGTAACAAGCAAATCAATTGGTAGATTCTAAAAATAACTTGCCAGACACCACAAAATCAGCAAAATAGCTTATACCTGACTCATAGGACACTAGTGACTTTAATATAAGTCGGGGGATTTGCAAAGCCGCAAATGGCATTATTAAGCCAATTTACAGGTTAGCAAAGAGAAACTCGAAAAGGTTAAATAACTTAGTGAGTCACAGAGCTCGTAAATGGCAGATCCCAGATCAGGGAATCTTGTTTTAGCTGATCCCAGAACCCATGTTCATTCTACTATATTGCGACATCTAGAGAAGAGTCAACTTACTTTAGAACATTAAATAGAACCATACCTCCAAACTCTCTTCTTTTTATATGTATGTTATCAAGGCTTCCTCGGCCCTAAAGGCAGACACGTTATCAAATAAATGCAGAATCAACACTGAATCAAATGTGTTAGTCCTGCAGGATTCCTCAGAGCCCCTAGTATACTAGTGCGCCCTGTGAATCCCACAGTGTGGATGTGGGAGGCTTCGATTTTCCTATGAAGGACTTTTTATAGGACTCACGTTCCAAGAAATACGGTTTAGGAAATGCATCTGCAAAATCGGGCAGCCCTAGCAAAGTCAATTTCTTTATGGTGAATTTGTATATCTCCATTCTCATCCATGTTATGATGATTTAAAGTTTAATTCTCAAAGTCAATCTAAATTCCCTTATGTCCAAGAACTATGAGAAGACTCATCTTCTTTGTAACTACAAGTATTCAGAATATTTACAGAGATCAGAAATATGGGACAGAAAACTTACACTTCCTTACCTCCCTACCTGGAGGCCTGGGAGAAGAGGACTAGTGAAATTTCTTTTTTTTTTTTTTTTCTTTTTTGAGGAAGATTACGCTTGAGTTAACTGCTGCCAATCTTCCTCTTTTCACTGAGGAAGACTGGCCCCGAGCTAACATCCATGCCCATATTCCTCTACTTTATATGTGGGACACCTACCACAGCATGGCTTGCCAAGCGGTGCCACGTCAGCGCCCAGGATCTGAACAGTGAACCCGGGGCCGCCGAAGTGGAATGTGTGCACTTAACTGCTGAGCCACCAGGCTGGCCCCTGAAATTATTTTTAACTCTTCATCTAGAGTTTGGGGAACCTACAGTCAACCCAGCGGAAAACCTTTTCTTGTTTCTTTCACACCTTTGTCCTCTGATTTCTCCCTCTACTGCTCAGTTTTGGTTTCCCTACTTAGCCTTCACAGATCAGTGTTTCCTTTTCATCCTCTCCCACTCCTAAAGCATGTGTTTGAATTTTATACAGAAATAGATAAGGGGGACATGAGTGCCTCTGAAGAGTTTTCTTGAAGGCTCCAGGTTAAATTTAGAATGTCATTGGGAGCCCTGACCCAGGAAGAATTAAATCTTTTAATGAGTTTTGTGTATACACAGAATGATAGCGCTTAGCCAGTGTTGTGGGGAGCTGCAATGTAGTGACATACGATAGTCTCTGGGTGATCTTGGACCAGTTATTGACTTATCTATGTGTTAGTTTCTCCATCTTTTAAACTAGAAAGACAGAAATACCTACCTCATATGGTTGTTTTACGTGTTGAATACGATACACAAAAAGCACATTAGAACAATGCCCAGTACGCAGTAATTACTCAATAAACGTTAACTGTCATTATTTGTACAATGATACTCTATTCCACAGGAATGCCAGCCACCAGCAATGGAGCATGACTTGATGAATTCCTTATCAACTGAACGGAACAGAAGGAGGGCTGAGGTAAACAGTGTCCTTCCCAATTGATGATGGAATGAAAGGCCAGTTCAGGCAGGTCCTCAGCAGAAACAGTGTGGTATAGTCAGAAAGGGCTGCAGGTTAGAACACTGCCCCACAGAACCAGCTCCTGCCTTGTGCATCAGGTTGGAACTCTCCCTACATCTTAAGTTGTTACCTTAAGTAACTAAGAAAATCATTCTTGATTAATGTCAGCTTATATCCATAAGTTTCCTCTTAGAGTGAATGAAAATAAATTCTTAGAAATTAAATTATTCTTCTATAGGAGAGCTTCTGAATTCAAAATCGTATTTTAGGACTTTGGTTCATATTAAAATTTTTCCTCCAAAAGAACTTGCCAGTTCGTGTGCCCTGTCAACAATGTATATAAACACCTATTTTCTTACCATCTTGACCACACCAGGTTCCCTACATTTTCAAATATTTTCTATTTGATAAACAGAAAAACCTACCTACTGATTTTATTTGGTTTTGATCACTAGTTAGGTTGAACATCTTTATATACGTCTACTGAATATTTGCATTTCTTTTTTGAATTGCCTGTTCCTAGTATTTACTCATTTTTTAATAATTAACTCTCTTTTTTTTTCTTTTCTGGAGCCTGACTATTCTTGTTTTCTTGGAAAAGCCTCCACCATATATATTTTTGCTTTCAACTTTGTAGTTTCTCATGTTATGTTTTTTCGTTTCTATATTTTCACATCTTGTTTTCATGTTTTATGTTCAAATTTTATTTTCAAATTGTTTTAAAGGCAGAATATCAAAAATTTGTTATACTAATTTTAATGGGAATACATTTAGATTTAACTCTTTAGTAGACTCAATTTGAAATATAGGAAGTATAATATTCTAACAAGATAATCTACTACATTAAGTGATTAAAAAGATTCATTATATTATTAACTTTCTGAATATAATGTCTCCTTGTATTCATCATAAACCCTGCTTAGTCATGACTTATTAATTTTTTAACATAGTGATGAATTCAATTTTCTACTTTAGTTTTCATGGATTTTTCATAAATGGAATTGGCCTATATTTAGCATTGTAACATTGTTCCGAAAGTTCTTGTAAGTGAAAAATAAATAAGAATTGTAAATATTTATGCTTATATAGTTTTATAAACATAAGACTAGAACACAGGAGAGAATTAACTGAAAACATATTAGAATTCATAAGCCAATTTCATCAACACCTTTTAAAGATAATCCTAAAACAAGATTTGTTTTTGAAGTGACAATATAGTAATGTTTCATTAAAGTTCTTCTCAATTTTAGTAGGTTTCCTAGAATTAAAATAATGCATTTTAATATGAA